GGTTTGTGGTAGGGGAAGAGGTTATGACTTATGGTTAGGGTTTGGGAAAAGGCGGTTAAGGTTAGGGACCAGGGATAGGAGATGGTAGTGGTAGGAGGTGGTTTAGGGTTAGGGCTCAAGGACTGGGGATAGGTAGTGGTTAAGGGTTAGGGTTTATGTCATGGGTAATGGTGTCGGAGACCCCCTTGCCCACCTGTATGCACTGGCCATCTGTGCCGACCAGTTAACCATTCTTATCTCTCATTGAGACCATGTGGATATGCTGTATTGAGCTTTATGATCCAAAGTCTCTCTGCTCTTTTCCTTTGCATCATGGACCAATTGGGGTTGGATTGGAGGACCATCACTCTGCAGGCATCCCAGCCATGGTCAACAAAGTGTCGTACCAGGTAAGTATCTGTCCTTTTCTGTTTGATGATGTGTTTATGCTGTGCCAACCTTGTTAGGATTGTGTTGCCTGTTTCACCCACATATTGGCTTCCACAGTGGACACAGCTAATCAGGTAAGTGCAATTTTTGGTGTGTACCGTGCCCAGTTTGTAGGTGGGGAAAACTTCCAGACTACGTCGGTTTTGCACGTAATCCCTTTGGTAGAAGACTGTACATTGGTTTCTTACTTTGAGCTCCCTTATCTGTTTGATTTGTGCTCTTACCAGATGATCTTGCAAGCTTTTATTTTTCCTATAGGCCGCAATGAGTGAGTGGTTCCTGAGTGTTCCTGAGTGTTCCTGTGTTTCTAGGAGGTTGGACCTGATCAACCTTGCCAGCCTGGTAGTGGCCGAAGAGTATGTGGTGATGAAGGGGATCTTGGGTCCATCCACCTGAGGTTTGGATACCTGATACGTTTTGAGGATTCTCCTTAAAAAAGACCTGTTGTAACCCCTGGGCCTCAGGGCCTTGAATAGCACCCGCACTGCTTCGAAGAAATCCCGTTCCCGGGTACATATCCGTTGGAAGCGCAGCAACTGCGATTTAACCAGACCAGCATATGTATGCTTGGGGTGAAAACTCCTCTTATGTAAAAGAGCATGTGTGTCCGTGTCTTTAAAAAAAACCTTTATGTCCAATTTGTGGGATATGGTGAAGGTCGGTCCTTTATAGGTGGTAGTGTCTAGAAAGTCAATGGACTGTAGGCTGGTGGTAAACTTTATTTTGATAGATAGATTGTGGTTATTCAATACATCAATGAACCCTTTAAAGTCCTCCTGTGAGTAGGTCCAAACACCCCAGATGTCATCCAAGTAGCGAAAGTAATATAGGGGCTGTTTGGTGCAGCGGGATAAGGCCGCGGCCTCCCATTCTGCCATGAATATGTTAGCATAGGCAGGGGCAAACTTCTTGCCCATTGCTGTTCCTTTAATTTGCAGAAAAAAATCATTATTGAATACAAAATCATTCCTAGTTAAATTGATTTCTAATAATTGGAGAAGTTCCCTGTCTGGTCTACTTGGATCTGGGTATTTTGAGAATATATTTCTAATGGCCTGTATGCCTTCTCCGATGTCAATATTGGTGTATAGGCTGTCAACATCCATGGTAAAAAGGTAGGCCTGTGGAGGGATTTCTAAGCTTTTGATTTTCTGGACAAAGTCGTAGGTGTCTTTAATATAGCTAGGATGACGGGTTGAAAGGGGATTTAAATAATAGTCCAAAAATTGGGCCGTGTGGTAAGTCTCGCTGCTACAGTCAGAGACTATAGGCCTACCTGGGGGAATTTCGTGGGGTTTGCTCCAATTGGATGGGTCCTTGTGAATTTTAGGGAGCATATAGAATATTCTGGCCCTGGGATGTGAGTCCCCTATTAGATAAGATTTTTGTTTTGCATTTATAAATTTGCCATGGTAAAGGGATTGAATAATATTTTTTACTAAGGGGACTGTTTCTAAATAAATTGGGTTATGCAATTTTTGGTAGTAATTATTGTCATGTAATTGTCTATATCCTTCCCATAAGTATTGTTCCCTATCCAAAATAACTATTGAACTGCCCTTATCCGCTGGTTTGATTATAATGTTTTTGTTATCTTTTAACTGTTTTAAGGCCTCAAGTTCCTCTGGAGTAAGGTTGGGTTTCTCCTGGGATGGTCGAAACCGTCCTTGAAAGTCCATCAGGTCCCTTTCCACCAAGGTAAGTATATCCATAGGTAATTTATCTGGAGGGGGAACCCAGTCTGATTGAGGAGTAAAAGGAGGAGGAGTTGAATCCGCACCATTCTGGAAATAGGCAGCCAGCCTTAACCTCCTGTGGTATTTTTGCAGGTCCAGCCTTGCTTGGAGCAATTGCCTCTTTCTACCAGTAGATGGAGTCGGAACAAAGGTCAAGCCTTTCTGGAGTAAGGTAAGTTGTGCAGAGGTAAGTATAAATTTTTTGGTTAAATTTATGACACCTTTAGACCCCTCCTGTGATTGCAGGTTTGTGGGGGAATTTAGTTTAAATAATTAAGCCAATGTTTGAGCATGTTGTCCGCTGTTTCCCTTGTCCAATGTACTTTGTCTAGGTCAACTTCGAAGTGACTCCCCGGAAGAGCAGGTATGTATTTTAAGTTGTTTTTTATATAATCATTTAAGATGCCCAATTGCGCCTGTTCTCTTAGTGGGAGAAGTCCTGAGAAATTAATTTCTGGGACCCAAATTTCCGCTAAGGGGAACGTATGTTTGGCCATCCTAAGGGCCGCCTGCATCTGTTTAATGGCTGTATCTTTAGCATTCTGTGCCCGATTATTGAGGCCGAAAGACAATATGACCTGTGTCACTTCTAAGGTGGGAGCCATTTTAACCAAAACTCCCTCAATGTGTCTAAATGTGGCCCCTGGAAAACCGTCAATTTGGAGGTCCGCATTCGTATGGGGGGGGATCCTACACAAATTAGAGTCGCCTAGCAATAAGCACTTTTTTTGGGGAACTAATTTCCAATCCGCTGTCTTCCTAGACGTAACAATATGTCTTGTGGGCCTAAACAATCGAGGTCCACTCTGCTGACTTGGGGATGTGGCAACCAAAAGGGCCTGTGTAGCCACCTTCAGGCTGGTGACTAGGCGGGGGCTCAATCCACCCTTCTTTGTATTTTCAGGACTGGCCTGAGGGCTATCCTCTTGTTCCTCCACCACTAAGTGCTCATCCTCCTGCATCATGCAGGGATTAGATCGTCTTGCCCGGGATGAACTCCGTGGAAGACGCTGTGGTCTCACCAGGTGAATTTGGGTATGATGGTCTAGCAAAGGGGAGGCAGGGGGAGTTTCTGCGTCGTCTGTTTCATTAACTGCCCCATCGTCTAAACTATCGGACCAATCTCTATGTTGTTCAGCCCCTGTAGAAATTGTTCTGGTGGGTCTGTCCTCCTCCAGAGCGGATATCAAGGATTGTGGTGAATGGCTAGCTGTAGCATGGACTTCAGCCTGGACCACCATACTATTCCTGGTTATTTTTTGTGGTGGGATAGGTGAGGACTGTAAGCCCTCCCGTGGTTCTAAAACTGAATTAGTGCCCCCAGGATTGGGTTGGGGGGTCGGGCTGCGAGTTCTTTCAGATACTAATGTGAGTGCCTCATGTATGGCTTTGTCTTTAAGCCTCCGGCCTATATCTCTCTTAGCCCATTTAATGGCCAAATTAAAACAGGTCTCCCACTCCTGGAATGCAGAATTTTGGAATTTCGCCAGTTCAGCTTCCAGGGTATCCTCATAATGCTGTCTAAGAATTAGCATTGTAGTATGGGCCCAATATTTGGCATTGCCCTCAATCAAGGTTTTTGTCCCGGGACTGGGCAGTGCCGGTTGTACTATTTCAGTCAAATAGTATTCTATACTGTTGATCATAGGGGGTTGGTCCCCTGCCACATTACCCTTGTGGTGTACCAGTTTAATTATACGGACCACGGCCCGAGCCCTTGGTGCCAATCCGGAGTCTGTGCGATCCCGAGGCTCCGCCTTCCCCTCATGACCCCTGTTGTTGTATCTGTTTATGTTTTGCAGGAACCGGGGGCCCCCTTGTGTCCTGGTACGCACCCTGTCCTGCTCTTGTGTGTTATATCTCCTATTGTAGTTAAATCTATGAGCGGGTCCAAATCGGACCCGCGGTTCAAAAAATTGAGGTCCTCTGGACCATTGCTGGACATTATTGTGTAAAGTAGGAGCTGGTCTCCTATGTCTGCCATATTTGACAATATCCGCATAGGAAAATCCAATCTCCCTCAGCGTGGATCGCTGTATGTGTTGGTTTGGACGGGGTGCCGGCCAGTCCGTGCCCTGATTTGCACGTTTGCCTTTCCGGGTCACCACTGTCCATCCGTCCCGATCTGGGAATGTCATTTTAACCGTAACAGGTATGTGTGTTCTTTTCTTTCAGAAGCTGAAAAATTAGTTTGGTGTCAGATTGATGTCCCCGCAGGTGAGTATCAAGGTAAATAATAAGGTAAGTAAAAGTTTTGTGTGAATATTTTCTTATAAAACAAGAAGAAAGGAACAAAAAACTGAAAAAATAGGAAGAAAAAAGTCTTTCTTTAATTAAATCAATATATATCCAGGATCAAAATTCAAAAATTGAAGAGAGAACAAGCCGTAGTTGCAACGTTTCGGCCCTCTGGGGGCCTTCGTCAGGCTGGCTTGTTCTTTTAATAGAGAAAAATATATTAGGTTTTAAAATTGTGCTCCCAGAGTTTTATGTAGTTTTTCTAACACAATGTAAAAGAAAATGTGGATCTGCCCTGTAAGGGATAAATCTAAGTGCTATAATAGCAATCCAAGATAAACTGCCAGTGTCTCTCACTCTCAGGCTGCAAGCAAACAAGTGACTATCCACTGAAGTGACTGTTGCATTCCAGTCGGAGGGGGCGGGACAAATGCGAGTCTTTCAAAAAGGGCCAATCAGGGTCTCCCAAGATGTGTTATATTTTTTAAGTATTGTATATTTGGCAAAATTATTGTTTCTGTAATTTTTCTGGTGAAGACTTATAAAGTATAATGTTATAGATTTTAGTTTGGACAACTTTTATTGTGATTTACTGTGGATAAGTATATTTTATATATATTTTTTTCATAGCTAAAAGGAATCCTGCACAACATTTCCAGGTTATAGAGACCTTTTATCATTATCATTTTAAATATATATATATATATATATA